GCTTAACCAACGCTTTTCATGCTCAAAATAATCAGCTTAGTAACATTTCATTAAAATTTATTCAAGTGCAAAAATTTAAGTTAAAATCAATAATATTATGTCGATAACTGAATGATGTGTAGCCGCGTGTACGTATGCATACATGTACATTAGACTGCATCACTCTCCATACAAAAAAAATCTGTAATTTGTTTCCATTGGAAATAAAATCTATTATATTTTAAGGCTTCCGCCAACATATTTCGGAAAAATATTAAGATTTACGTGCGCTGGACCGATTTGAAAATACCTCCGAATAAAAATAGTTTCTTAAAGTTTTTTTTTTGAAAAAAATCCCCTCAAATGACAAAACTGTTTAAGCTTAAAAAATTTGCTTAAAAATATTTAAAAAAAATTAAAAAAAAAAATCAATGGAATCGTAATAATGCGATTTTTGATGCTGTTTTTTTTAACTTTTTTCAAACATTGGTATAAGAAAAACTTGAATAATTGAACCTAAACTCTACCGATTTAGACTTGTGAGGTATCATTGGAAAGGTCTTTTCTCATTCAAAGGATGAATGAGAAAGGTAGGCTGAACGAGTGTCATTCCAAGTTGAATTAAGATGTGTTGGAATTCGAAAAAAAATTGGGAGTTTTTTTTGGAAATAAAAAGAGTGGGAAAATACCTTTCTACTGATACCCCACAAGAATAAATCGGAATAGTTTTGGCCCAGTTATTTAAGTTTTTCGTAAATCAGTTTTTGAAAAAAAAGTTGAAAATGAAAAACAGCATCAAAAATCTCATTATTACGATTCCCTTGAAAATATTTTTAAATATTTGTATGCAGATTTTTTAAGTTTAATCTTTTTTGTCATCTGAGGGGATTTTTTTCAAAAAGTTCTTTAAGAGACTATTTTTATTCACGAGAAACCCCATTTTTGGAAGTATTTTCAAATCGGTCCAGCTCACATAAATCTTAATATTTCTTCGAAATATTTTGTCATACGTCTTCAAATATAGTAAGTTGTGTAATGCCGGCAGAAAAATAGCAACTTTTTTTTAGTGATACAGTCTAATGTAAATTGTGGCCACAAATAAAAAAATAAATAAACTAAAATGCTTGCCAGGCATATAAAACTTGTCTCATTTGACAAGGAAGTTAGTTTGATTATCTGACTTTAACGAAGATTTGAAACCAAACCTAAAAAAAAAAAATACATGACTCATGCAAAATATTCATTTTTTCAATTAAGTCAAAAAACGATGTCATGCTGACGCATTTCGATTGCCAAAAACTGATAAACGTTCTCCTTACCAAGCACAGTTAATACATACATATGTAACTATGTAAGTAGTATGCCTGAATTGATTGAGAATATTTTATTTGCCATTGAGGTCAAAATCGTTGCCAACTTCAAAGAAGAAAAAAATGTAAAAATCGGCTTCATATATTCCTTTGAAGCTACATTTTCCTCATCCACTAAGCAATCTTTTATTTATATTTTTTTTCTTTCGTTTTGCCAATACAAGGATGAAATGTGTTGAGTAATCCTGTGAAGCACAATTAATGCCTAAGTGAGTGAGTAACGGAAATAAGGGCATATACATACATATTTAAACTCATACACGCAGAATAAACGGCTATGTTTGAAATCACTGGCCGCTTTCCTAATGTTAGGTAATTTTTTTCCTTATTTTTGAATGTAATTGAAAATAATGCGTTAAATATTAGCTTGAGTAAAATTTTTTACTAAACTTGACTTTAGTTTAATAGATCCTAGACCTTTTTACTAACTATTTATATATTACATTGTTGGCATAATTATCGCGAGCCCGAGACTCGAATCTCCCGTTGTTATATAATTACCAATCAGCAGTTGGATTTTGTTTAAAAGTTGTCCACTAGAAGCCCTTAGATCGCAGAGCTCTCCCAATGAAGTTTAGCCTTGCCTCAAGCGCACCTTTACATACCCGAGTAAGCACACCGAGTAACTCATCAATCGACTCCCCACCAAGATTTAGGGCCTCAATGGGTGCGCGGGAGTTTTTTTTTGCAGCCTGCTGCAACTAACAATGCACATTGTTCGTTCTCCTCAGATTCCTGCAAAGCTTTGGTTGAGTGGCGATTCGTCAATAGAAAAATGTGTGCACCGATGGAATTAGAAGGACTAAACTTTGAGAATGCTCCAAGCAGACATGCGCGAAAAAACCGACGCTGCTTGAGTGAATGATTGTAATCCTCAATGATCTTATCCAGCACCCCTCCGCAGGTGCCCTCTTCTATTTCGCTTTATCGCGTAAATAGGGGATCGATACTGACGACGGATACCGTTTTAGAAAGAGAGTCCTCAGTGTCAATGTAAGACCTTGCAAAGCCTACCACGATACTCATGGCTCATTCTTTGTTTCAGGCTCGCCCGTGACAGACTAAAATTCGGAAGAAAGCCAGAGCCAAGCCGCCGGCTGCAAGGAAGGATCCCGCCAGTGTACCACCTCCAGTTAGCTTTCTGCAAACCTCATTTCTTTCACTCCTTTCATGTAAAGTCAAAGCTCTGCGTAACATGGTCAATAAGCTCTAAGATGATGGAGGTAGCCGGAGTGTATTTGGCTATTCTATAAAAAACATGTAGAAAGCCGTGCACTTTAATTCCATCGCTTCAAACGAAGAAAAAAGGAGCTTGTAGATGGCGCTTTTGTTTCTTATTTCGTCGCGTTTTTTTGGCAGTGTACGATATGTATATACATATATGTATAAGCCGCATCCGGCTAGAATTCTATGTGTAATTATACATACATACATACATATTTGCTGATGTACGAGGCAGCTGCCTAACAGCGTGATGCTGTATGTTTCCATTTCCTCCAGAACTTATTTGGTTAATGTGCAACAAATTGAAGTGACATTTGGCTGACGACACGTATACGCATCGTTGCACCCATTTGTTGTGCTTTCTCGCTCTTAACTCCTCATTATCTGTACATTCGCCGCGCAATAGCTTCGCCTAGGCAGCGGAAATGTACAGTTTACTTGCTTGGCTGACTGAAGTTGGCTGAGTGGGTCAATAAGCGCAAGTGTGAATGTGTGTTTATTGGTCATGGTAGCCAAAAGGTAGGTATATGTATATTTATGCTTGTAAATACATAGGTACACTAGAGACAGGGTGCTTAGATGGTATTTATCATACAAATTTTTATATACGCTTATTTAATGACAAATAATAAATTTCGAAAAACTCTATTTAAGGCCCAGTTTGAGCCCAGCTTGGGCGAAATTTTACTAAATTCTTTCTAAGTAAAATTCCAAACTAAAATAAAAGCGAATTTATGTCAGATGTACGAGAATGAGAAAGTGAAACAGAATCGTTGAAGTTAATATGACAAAAGCTCACCTCAGCTGTAGAAAAAGTATTCAGCCCAATTCTGAATACTCTTGGGGAGTTTCTTCACAATAGAAAAAAGTCTGATGAGGAGATTGGTGATATAAAAAAAACAGCTATTACTTCTACCTTTATAAATTATTGTTGTTTTTCCACACACTTTTCAATAAAAAATGGCCTCAAGCTCAATAAAATTGTTGAATATAATTTCGTAACAATATTTAAAATGTTTTCCATCATACATCTTTTTCGTTAACTTGTATTTAAAATATAGCTCATTTTATAGCAAAAAAAAATGTTGCAAACTTTGTAAAAATTCACTAAAATTATTCAAACTTCCAAGATTGTTTATCAAAATTTCAAACATTTTCCGGGATGCAGTTTTCTAGCCTGCTCAGTTCAGTATATGTAATAAAGTGCACGTTCTAAGTTACCGTTTGAAATTTTGGTGAAGATTTTTTGATGTTTGATTAATTTTTTCGAATTTTGTACAAAGTTTGCTAACTTTATTTATATGGTTTTGTTATGGAATTAGCTTTATTTTAAATAAAAATTAACGAGTCAGATTTATGATGAAAAACATTTTGAATATTGTAAAAAAGCTAAATTACGAATACTTCTGTGAGTGACTGTATGCAATTTTGCAATCAATATTTCACTAACTTAGCTCATAACCCGACAATAATGGAATATGGCGCTGGAGTCGAAACATTTGGAAACCCCTTATTCATGGCTCGATTTGATTTATATTTTTTACTATTAAGTTACTACTTTTTTACTATTAATTTATTTTAAATTTTTCCCCTAATAAATTCAAAAATTGTTCATTCATAATGCAAATTTGAAATTAAAGTAATTTAGGAAATGATCTGAACTAAAAAAAACTGGTATACAGGCAGTCTGAGACCTAAAATTGAGTTTACGTGTTTTTTTCGTTTTTTGTGTCATTGCAAATCAGGGTTTTAAGTATATCGCGTAGAGCAGATTAAATTGACCAGTTTGTTGCAAAAAAAAAAAAAAATAAGTTTCATCTTTATTCCCTGAAAGTGTCTCAGTAGTGGCAGGGATTTGTGTGTGCTGAGTCTAACTAAGCACCCTTTACTTTATTTACCACATCTAGTATACGCATAACTCTACGTATTTACAATTGTATGTGTTTGTGCTTGTCCCCATAGTATGTTTGTATGTACGTATATTAATATTGCCAATATTAATTTTGCATTAAACTTGAAGGGAATAAAGTTGATTAGTGTCATTGACAGCCGTTGGCGACATAGGCGCACATTCACATATACATACATACTTATCTATGTTTGTATATATGTATGTATGTGGTAGAGGCAACTCGCCCTTCTCAAACTATCATCGCTGTCAAACGCTTATCGCCATGCCACGCATAATCATTTCGACAAGTGTTGCTTTTCAAGTGTCGATTTAAATATCACTTATTGATTGAAATTTTCGGAGGCCTATATAATGTATATATAAAAGTACACATTTATTAATTTTGCTTAACTTTCGCTTTTACTTACTGACAAGCACATTATCCTATTTTCACTATAAACATCATTTAATTAACAAATGCGTGCATTATTTATTTATACTTTAAAACAAATTTATTTACACCGTCTTCATTACAGGATCGCCGGAAATGGCTTTCATTCACGCGCTCGCCGCTGCTATGGTGACCAGTTTTATTGCGCGCGCCTGTCGCGACGGCCAGCTGGCATCATGTGGCTGTTCACGCGGTACACGCCCCAAGCAATTGCATGACGATTGGACGTGGGGTGGGTGTGGCGATAATTTGGAATACGCTTACAAGTGAGTACATACATATGCACATAGTACTACATAAAAATAATGCCAGTACTTTAATATTAGTACAATGGAGGAATTTAATAATTAGGGAGTAATTCAATAAAATCATATTTTCACCATGTGTAAACTTATTATGTGTAAAAACTATGCTGCCGCACATCGCTGCAAACCCTATTTACATATATTTTGTGAGTGATAAACCTTTGTTAACTAGAACACTTAAAGAAAAACATTTCGGCAGACGAATTCAAATTTTGTTAGGTAAATACATATCGATAGCTTAAAGGGCGTTCCCACGAAATCCAATTTGCGCAGTTTCGACGCTTTCTCAATTTCAGCTGAAATTGCGATACAATTCTTAATTTGGCCATATAAAAAAGAACTGTCGCCTGAAATTGTGTATAGAGGGTATTTGATTACACCGTGTGACAAAAACCAAAAATGTTTAAAACACACGATAAGCTCAATATATTCACAAAACTAGGAGCCAAATATAGTATAACTGTGTTTTTCATTTGTCTCTCTGACGTCTAGGATATGATTGATTAAAAAAATTATTTAAAAGATTTGGTGCATTGTAGAATAACAATTTGGGTATCTACTAAAAGGAAAAATTCTGTAGAATAGAAAAAAAAATTAAGTTTTGGGTGCTCCAGGATGAATAAGTGTTGAAAATGTCCTTTTAAAATTTTATCCTAAAATATCCTTGGAAATTTCCAATATTTATTTTTGGAAAAAAATATATGTCAAGGACTAATATGTTAACCGAGCCCTAACCGCCAAAATAACGTAAGCGACACTTTTTTCAAAATTTTCTTTTTGATGCAGAAATATTCCTAGAGCATCTAGATGCATTTCTGCATCAAAAAGAAAATTTTGAAAAAAGTGTCGCTTACGTTATTTTGGCGGTTAGGGCTCGTAACTACCACATCCTCGAATTTCTTCCTTCTAACTTTATTAGTTTTAGCAAAAAAAAATTACACTTCTCTGTGACGAGAATGTAAATAGGGAAGAGGCATTATAGTAAGTTTTGGCTATTTTTCTTTGCTTAAAAAATGTCTAGTTCTTTTATGAAAATACAGCTTACTATCTAAAAAACAATACAAATCAAAATTTCAAACTTTGTAGCACATTTATAAAAATTCGATGAATTTTAACAAATGTTGATTAAAATTTTAAACAATTAAATCTGATTTTCTAAAATTTAAGTTTTGTAGCCCACTAAATCTTAGTATGATAATGTGCAAGTTTGAAGTAGCTAGGACTTACCGCTGAGTTTTGGCAATTTTTTTGTTCACGCATTTTCTTCCATACAAAGAGTATGTTCGGCGATTTCTTTGTATGGAGAAAATGAGCAACACCTTCTAGGAAAAAATTAACGGTAAGAGCCAGCCCCTTAAAATTTGCTATTTATTAAACTAGAATAGAATTGGATAAAAAATTGCACACTCAGAATATTTCTAAGTTTGAGATTCCGATTTACATAGTTTTTGTTAGATAACCGGCTTTCAATAAATAAACGAAAATGAAATAGGCAAAAAATACTAAAATGACTCTTCCCTCCCTATTTATATTTTCGCCAGTGTGTGCGCATTAGGGTGGTCCAAAAACAGTAAAGTCGGAATTGTAATGTTCTCACCCCCTAGGATTGTTCTATATCGAAAAAAGTATACCCCCATTTTTTACCTTCCTTTTATTAACTCGGGATGTAACTATGTAATATTGATGCGCCTAAAAAATGCAGCGATTTCTATTCTGAAGTTACATACCTGATGACAGTACGAATGGCAATTATAATAGGGATGTTTTAGTTTTTTAAACTATAATTTTATTATTTTGAAATCAAGAAAATATTTAGAGGTCACTCAAAACGCTTAAAGCTTTCCATTTATTTTTATATGGGAAAAATAAAATTTTTCGTAGAAATGGTAGAGAATTCTTGAAAATCAATATTTGTCGATCGGAAAACTCTGGCTATCTTCAGGAAACTTTCAGTAATAATACTCAATTGTTTAATTAACCATTTATTAATACTAGCGATTTTTTATTGGCCGCCCCATTGCATTTTTCAGGGTTTTTGTGAGTTTTTGGCGGACCTATAAATTATAGTTGCGATGAAAAAATGGTTAAAAAAAACAATTGGGTATTATTACTGGGAATCTTCTGCAGAGTTTTCTGGTAGAAAAATATTGGTTTTTAACTAGTCGATACCATTCTACGAAAAGTTGTTTTTTTCCCCATATAAAATATATGGTCAACCTTGGGCGCTTTGAGCGGCCACTAAATATTTTTTGATTTCAAAAAAAAGTTAAGGTATATTTTTTCGGTATAGAATAATCCTAGGGGGTCAGAGCATAAAAATGCCGACTTTACTTTTTCACATGCATTTTTGGACCACCCTAATGCGCATATATTTGTTCAAATAATAAGACCCATTTAACCTTCATTGTATCATTTATTCCATTTGGCTTTTAATTTTTTACTTCTTACTTTTATTTATGCCTACATTTTTTCTACTCAATTAGTTTCCTCCTTTTCAAAAGCTAGTTAATTTGACCATTTAATTTAGCAGTTAATTGACCACAATTCATTACAAAGGCAATATTTTTATTTTTTTTTTTAATGAAGTGAAAAGTGTAGCCACAAAAAAAAAACCAGCTACTATCCATGACCCAAAGTTGCGCAATCAAATTAAGTGCCATCAG